TGCGGCCTAAAATAGTATATCACGTCATCAGGCGATAAAAGTATTATCTAGCGAATGTAGCATTCGCCTTCGGCTCGGATTATAATCACATTCGCCAGATAATGTTTTTATCGCCGTGTGACATACGATATTTTATGTCGTTGGGCCCGAAAACCGCGATCTAACCGAGCGAAGCGAGGTTAGAATCGCGGTTTTTTCGGCCCCAATGATATAAAAATTTTGGCGCTGCGCGCCACGAAATTGGCGTTTTTCAGGTCCCTCGACGCGAAAATTAATATACACACCTCGCCATGAAAAACATATCACCCTCCCCCACGTGTAAGATTGCTTTCCGAGCCGAAGTAAGCCGAAGGCGGGGTGATCTGTTTTCACTGGTGACTGGTCGATAATGTAGAGAAATGCACGAATTATCGATGCTCCCTTTAACCTCATGTAGAAACAGCAACTTTAAAAATCATTTTTGTTGTTGCTCTGCCTCTGGGGGTTCTCGAATTTTGCAAACGGCGTCTAAATGGATTTAATAATGCGTGGGAAAATCTTCATAAAATTGACTGCATTTTTTGAATATCCTACTCCTCACCTGATTATCCTTAAGGATATCCAAGTACTTCTTTCAAGTTAGAAACTTTTCTTCAAGCAAGATTTCAGTTTTTTTCAAAAATCTTGCCACCCCCATACTTTGTCGGATTTTTCATTGTTGAACACATTTTTTTTCGTGAATTTCTTCAATGAATATTGTGAACAATATTCTATTCAATTTCATACTTGACTCTCATTGATCTAACATCTAATGATCATTTAGCAACACTGTACATGTGTTCCATATAACCTCTCGTAAATTGAATCGGAGTAGTGACTTGGACCGTTGCCAGACATGCGGAACGTGCGTTAATTTCATTTGTTTAGTTCTTTTTTTTTTCAAAAATTGTTGTCGTTGATATTGCACCTAAAAAATACTCTTGTCTACTCTATACACTCTGAAGAGGATTTGCCACAGAAAAAATTACTCGAACTATTAGGATACTAGGGGGCTACGCCCCCTGCTCGCTCCGCTCGCCAACCCCGGGGGGGGCTTCGCTCCCCCCTCCCGGTGTGACCGGGGTTTTTTCGATAGCTCTATACATACTTTACCATAAGAGGCCCAAACGTATAATTCCCCCCCATATATAGGCACCCCCCCATAAATGGCCACCCCCATATATAGGCACCCCCCCTATATGGGCACCCCTCATATATATAGGTACCCGCCCATATATGGGCCCCCCCCCCCCGTATATGGGAACAACCCCATATATGGGCACCCCCTACATATGGGCACCACCCCATATATATAAGCACCCCCCCATATATGGACACCGCTCATATATGGGCACCGCCCATATATACAGGCACCCTCCATATATGAACACCCCCATATATGGGCATATCCCATATATGCCCCCCATATATGGGCACCCCCCCATATATGGGCACCCTCCATATAGGGACACTCCCCCTATATATGGGCACCCCCCATATATGGGTGCCCCTCTATATATAGGCATCCACCCATATATGGGCAGTCCCCTTAGAACCCCCATGACCCTTATGACCCTTATTAACCCTATGCCCTTCGTGACCCTTAGCACTCCTATGACCGTCGTGACCCTTAGCACTCCTATGACCCCTTTGATCCTTAGCACTCCTATGACCCTCGTGATCCTTAGAACTATGACATTTAGAACCCCTATGACCCCTGTGACCTTTGAGACCCTCGTGACTCTTATGACCCTTAACCCCTCTATGACCCTTATGACCCTTAGCACCTCTATGACCTTCGTGACCCTTAAGAGCCTTAGTACATTTGTGACCCTCGTGGCCCTCATAACTCTTAGCCCCTCTATGACCCCTATGACCCTCACGACCCTTTGACCCTTGAGACCCTCCAGGGATGGGGACGTCCCCTGAAGCCACCGCTGGCTCCGCTCGTTCCCGGCTCCCGGTGTGACCGAATGGGTGTGACCGGGAGCGTTTTTCCGATAGCTCTATAAATACTTTACCATAAGAGGCCACATACGTATAATTCCCCCCCACATATGGGCACCCCCCCCCCTATATGAGCACCTCCTACATATGGGCACCCCCCCATATATGGGCACCCCCCATATATGGGCACCCCCCATATATGGGCACCCCCCATATATGGGCCGGATCAAGCGTCGCCTGAATTTTGAGCGTCGCCTGAATTTTTGGGCTTATTTTTTTATTATATAGAGAGATTCTTAATAATATATAATCACCAAAAAGATATAATCACCAAATGTCAACTCACTATCTCCATTCTTTAATATCTCCACAACTTTGTATACGGATATACATATGTTGATTGATCCAGATATAGGCCATCGGCACACAAAGTACTTTGAAGAAGAGAAAATTGAAATTGGTGCTGTAGTTTCTAAAATATTGAGGAAAAATCAAATTCGAACATATTGTTATATGTAAGGAAGTACCTGACCGATCGGGCTGAAACTGCAGACTGAAGTTGAGCTCTATCATATCTACTATGAGTCAAAATGTCAGATTTTTATCCATTTTCACCGGATTTATGCTCCATTTCCTAAAAACATATCACCCATAAGCCAAACTATCACGCACATTCGTACAGATATTTTCTAAAAAATATTTCCCCGCGTTTCATATAACATTCCTAAGTGAAATAATTTCTAAGTAAAACCAGAAAATGTGACAATCTGACAAATACAAAGCTTTCATTCGAAACAAAAAAAAAACTAACGAATAAAAATCTCACACAGCAGATACAACGACAATACCCAGCTACTTCCTCTGACCTGAAAGTCTCTCCAATTCTCAAGTTCATATCAATCTGCAAATTTCCGGTAGTAACCCATGAATGCAAAATTACGAATCAAGGGCACTTACACATTCTTAATTTCTCGAAATACATTATCTCGACAATTGCCATCATGGGTTGCTAGCGGCTCTCCACCGATTAAACCCTATTATCCCAGAAGAATGATTAAATCAGTGATAAGGTGAAGTGGATCAACACTCAAAACTCACCTTATTGGAGTCCTCAAATTCTTCCCATTAAATATCTTTTTTTATGTGTTTTTTTACATTTATTGCTGATGTTTTGAAATGAAAAATTTTCTGATAAACTGCGAAAACAATTTCTTATCATTTCAAGTGATATAAAATCAGTTCAAACTTAAGAGTCACGAGGTGGCAAATAACTATGAACATCATCCAATACTATCCTACGAATTGCATAGGGCTCTTCTTCCGCTGATTACATCCCTGAACGATTTTGTTTGCGTTCACGGAATGCACTTGTTTAATAAACCCTACTCAGTCCCCGAAAAACGATAGAAAAACTCTCGAAATATTTCAAACAATTCTCCGTTCAAGGCTGCATTGACTAGGTATTCAGTCCATAAAATACACGCTGCCAATTCTAATATATGGAATAACTGAATTTAAGAATTTAACATTGCATACTTACTAAACATTGGAGCTCAACATTATTTGTTAAAAACGAGAAGAAATGCTTCAACATTTGTCAATAGATAGGTCATTCTCTTTTAATCGAATCTAAGAAATTTAATGGATTTTTACTCAATGGTTTTCCCATTAGTTGATGGTTCGTATCGGAATTCGTCGTCTGTCATTGTGTAACACATAGGCATCCACCATTTGGTCTCACTCGCAGGTCGACACAAGTAGAGATGCAAAATGACCGTCATTTTTTAGATCGCGTCATATGACCAAAAAATGACGGTCATGTGACGCACGAATTTTCCAACTACAAATGATTGTCACAAATCATTTGTAACCAAATTGTTGTCAAACCATCTATATAGTTACATAATGACGGTCATAACTAATTTTCAATTTGTGACGGTCATGAATAAAACAAAATAGTTTCATCTACATATATGGATGGAAAAAAATCGTGGTTTCCAATTCAAAATGCGGATTAGGGCAAAACAAAAGGAATTCAACTGAAAATTGACCGAGAAAAATATAAAGTTTCATCTATATAGATGAAAATTGACTGTCATTTTTTCTTGACAAGTTTTGACGGTCACAGAAGGGTGAGGGGGAATGTGACAGCCGTCATGAACGCCTCGTCATGTAACCGTCAATGACGGTCACATGACCGTCATATGACGGGTCATGTGACGCATTTGCATCTCTAGACACAAGTGATCCTGGACTGTGGTATTCCCCCACCGCTCTCCCATCAATGCCAGGATGAATCTGTAGTTTTATCTGAGTTGCGTGCAGGTGAAAATTTTAAGAATGAATGATTAGAATTAGTTGAATATCGCAGTCAGAATTAATTTGAGAAAGAAATTTCATAACACTTCTTTTGCAGACAAATCAATTCCCAATAAAAAAGTCCGTGGTGTATTCTCCTAACGCAATAGTTATTAAAATAATGACCGTCTAAACTGATCAGTTTTATCTTCGGGTGTACATCCTTTAGATGGTTGTGAAAATGAAAGTAGAATTTTGTGGATACTTGGAGAACAATTGCATTTATGACGAAATGTCATAAGACCTCCCTGCTAGATGGAAGAATTCCCAATGAAAGTGTCACTGGCTACTTTTTAGGAGAATTATAATTATGCAAAGGACGAGCGTTTGAATTCTGGATTTCCTCATTTGCTCGTTGAGTGTGGAGGAGTGGGGCTGGAGTTGTGTGTGAATGGGCCAACAGAGTTCCGAGTATCGTTCGTCGTTATTATCATAGAAGTATCACGAATTCGCCTTCTGTACCTCCCTATCTGCAGGCGTTCATGCTCCATGAACAGTGACTCAGATACCTAGTTTATTCGAATCAGTGAGTGTTACATTTTTCTTTTTTTTTTTGGTTTTTGGTCTGTTTGTGAATGAAAAAGATTCAGAACGAGGTGAAGAGTGTTGGACGTGTGATTATTGTGTGTGGTGAAGGTATTAAAACTGAGATTTGAAGGAATCAAAGAATTTTAGCGCCTTGGGGGGGGGGCGGGGGTCGATGGGAGGATTCGATTTTATAATAAGAACATATCATTAATTTTTGGTAATGAGAATTCGGGAACTTTGATCGACATAAGTTGGAAGGGGCTTGGAGCCCTAGGAGTTGGGGATCCAAGGTTTAGGTTAGTTTGGGGTGACAACTCCCACGTTGACGTGGCTCGTGAGAGGTGATATGAAGTTTTTGGCAGTTTCGTGAATCGTTCGGTGATTATTGGATTTTTTTTTTCTGCAATTTACTGCGTGAGGTCTAACAGGTTTTCGTTGAAAGCGTTGAAATTGGAGTTTTTAATGATTCTTTTCAAGTCTCAAGGTACTGCACGTATGAAAAAATCGTATAGAAATTTTCTATACGGATTACGTATAAAAATTCTATAGGATTTTCGTATATGATATTCGGATATTTGTATACATAAATTTTTGTTTTCATACGAAAGATGTCTAAACGCTCCAGAAAAAAACGTACAGAAATGTCGCAACTCCATACGAAATGTTTCTATACTTGTGGTAGTGGGTCGTATAGGATCAAACCTATAGAAATTGTATATAAATAATTTGTGTAAAAAATCTCCGTATAGAAATATCCGAATATCATATAGGAAAATCCTATAGAAATTTTATACGTAATCCGTATAGAAAATTTCTATACGATTTCTTCCTACGTGTGAAACTCTTGAGAAAGAGAGTGAAGGTCGATATTGTGAGAATTGACGAGTGACATGTACATTCCTGACGATTTTTCATCAGTATTTCTTCCCTGAATTTTACAGATTTACCTAGTCGAAAGATTGTAAACGAAGTTCTTAGGAACTTGTGAATAATTAAGAAAGAAATTGATACTGTAGAATTTCACTGAATTGTTCATTTTTCTCTATGAGAATACCTCGATCTCATTCAGATTCAAAGATATCCATCAGAACATTCACCTGTTCCGAAATTATAATAGCTGATCTCGTTTTACCAGTTAATTTCATTGCACAGTTGTATCTTTAGTTTTTTCACCAAGATTTGGAAGATTTCAATTGTCTTTTTCTTTCTATGCCATGAGAATTAATGAATGGATGATTTGTTTAGAAATGCGGATCTCACTAGTGAGTGAGAACTTTTTGCAGATTCACTTGGATTTTTCGTTCTGAAAAAAATTCACCTTTGATATTTGCAACTTTATCGTCAGATAATTAGTTTTTTACTACCATCCACCTTCATTTTTGTACTGTAAAACATTGTAGAAATCTCTGCATGGAAGCCAATACTATCGATTCATCCATTGCTCTCTTTTATGCAACGACGTAAAATTCACACAATGGATCTTTTTTTTTTGACGACTATACTGTCTACAGGGTTATCAAGAAAACATAATTTTCCTCCACTTTTTAATCATTTTATATAAGTCCACTTCTTCATGAGTTAATAATTTTTTTAGCAGTTTCACGTCATTTCCTCACTGGCAATGGTTGAAAGAACTAGCATCATCCAACTGGACCTTCATGTTAAAAAAATGATAATCTGAGTCGAAGAAACTGACCATTATGTAGTAAAATAGTAATGTGATTCAAACAAAGATAGATAATACAGTTTCTGATCCACTAAGCCCAGTAGCCTCAATCCAAGATGAATAAAAATAGGAAAAGCCAATTAAACCGCAATGAAAATTTTTTTCAACGTAAAGTACATTTATTTATAATTAACAATCAAAATTTCAATTTCAAACTAGGCGTCTACACCCCCTGCTCGCTCCGCTCGCCAAACCCCAAGAGCCTTAGTTTGACTCCCATGATTCTTATCCGGAACCTTATTCTGACCCTCGTGACCTTTATTCTGACACTCATTATACCCCACGTGACTCTCATTTTGACCCTTCATTTCTAACGCTTAATTTTAGAGTTTTAATTTCAAGCACCAAATTTTTATCACCAAAAGTCGATTTAGATTTTGATAACTAATGAATAAAAATAAGATGTTAAAAAAATTTGTTGTGGAAATAGCTCGTGATCACCGGTTTGCCTTATAGATGAGTTTCTGATCATGAGTAGATATTCTGTTTGATATTTTTGTCAGCAAAGGGATTTCCACATATCGTTAGCTGTATAGAAAAGTAACGTAAGTGCCAAAATACGAGAATTCAATAGAAAAAGAGAAACAAAAAACAAATATGGGAACTGGAATTAAAAATTCAAAACTTCTGGTATGAGCACATTTTTTGGCACTTACGTTAGTCTTCTATACAGCTAACGATATGACTTTCCTTGCAATCACATCTAGCAATTCCTTTAACTTCCCCTTTCATATCTATTTCAAGAATATCAGCACCTCACTCCTCATCGTTTTCCTGTTCATATATATTTTCTTTCAATCATTTTGATCGCTGTAATGAACATGATGATCAAGACAAGGAGAGCATGATGTAAATATTTACACTGATCAAGCTGAAGAAATGTCAGAGAATATATTGCGTATTCTCTGATCAACAACAATCATATTTATGTTTAAAAAATTAATTCTGGTGGGTTTTTCACTATTTTGAACTATTTGTTTATGGTTCAAGGTGCCATATATCAACCATATCATTCCGACAAAAGATCAAAGTAGAAATACCATTCTTTCCCCGGTTCATAATAAATATCCGTGGATACATTTGAAAAACAACTAACAGAAACTCTAAAAATGCTGCGAACTATCAAGTGATCAGATACTCCTCCTGATAAAAAACTGTATCATTTTGCTTATACAATTTTTACTGATAAACTTATTATCTGAGAAATAAGCCGTTTTAAAGGAGAATGAAAAAAATTAATTCATAAAACCGTACAATCATCTGATGACTGACCAATTAATTCTATCCCAAGTACAGAGAGTAAATGAGAAATCTTTGTGAATGACGCAACTATCCGTGAGAAAAAAAAATTGACAAAAAATTTCAGGAGAACTTTCCAGTTCCTCTCTGATCTTTTTCCGCTGAAAATATTCATCGCCGAGATAATCCAACAGTTCTCAATTTTCGTTTCAGGCGCTGTGAAAAATTTCCGTAATCCGCCAAAATGTTTTCCTGGCTGACCCGCGAGGGCAACGACAAGCAAGACATCTTTGACAATGTCACTCAAGGCTTAAACCACATTTACAAGACCAAACTCCTACCCTTAGAACAACACTATCAGTTCCATGACTTCCATTCGCCTCAACTCGACGATCCTGACTTCGATGCTAAGCCAATGATTTTGCTCGTGGGTCAGTACTCCACCGGAAAGACGACTTTCATAAAATATCTATTGGAGAGAGACTTCCCAGGGATTCGAATTGGACCGGAACCAACCACTGACCGTTTCATAGCAGTTATGTATGATCAGAAGGAAGGTGTAATCCCAGGGAATGCTCTCGTGGTGGACCCCAGCAAGCAATTCCGCCCATTAGCAAAGTTTGGAAATGCTTTCTTGAACAGACTCCAATGCTCAATGGTTGCATCACCAGTTCTGAAAGGAATATCTATCGTGGATACTCCTGGAATCCTGTCTGGGGAGAAACAAAGGGTGGACAGGGGCTATGACTTCACTGGAGTCCTCGAGTGGTTTGCAGAAAGAGTTGACAGGATAATTCTGCTGTTCGATGCCCACAAATTGGACATTTCTGATGAATTCAGACGTTCCATCGAAGCTCTAAGGGGTCACGATGACAAAATCCGAATTGTTTTGAATAAAGCTGATACGATCGACCATCAACAGCTGATGAGAGTGTACGGAGCTCTCATGTGGTCCTTGGGCAAGGTTCTCCAGACCCCTGAAGTTGCTAGGGTTTATATTGGATCTTTCTGGGATCAACCGCTGAGGTATGATGTTAACAGAAGACTCTTCGAGGCTGAGGAGCAGGACCTCTTTAAGGACATGCAGTCGTTGCCGAAAAATGCAACTCTGAGGAAACTCAATGATTTGATCAAACGGGCAAGGCTTGCCAAGGTCCATGCTTACATCATTAGTGCCCTGAGGAAGGATATGCCTACCGTTTTTGGCAAGGATGCGAAGAAAAAGGAGCTGATTAAGAATTTAGGGCAGATTTATGATCAGCTGCAGAGGGAGCATCAAATTTCTCCGGGGGATTTCCCGGATTTAGAGAAGATGCAGGAGAGTCTGGCCCATCATGACTTCACAAAGTTCAATCCCCTCAAACCAAGACTGTTAGAAGTAGTTGATAAAATGCTGGCTGAGGATATTGCTAAATTGATGGCAATGATTCCACACGAGGAAGTTAGCAGCACAGTTGAACCTATGATTAGAGGTAATTGTGATTTTATTCTGTGAAGGAATTTTTGAGGAATTCCAGGGTGAAGAGTTGAAGAGCGAATAATGAATAACTTCTTCACAACATATGAAATCGCTTCACAGTTGTATTTCTTCAATTTTCTTTACGATCAAAAGTTGAAAATTTATTGAGTAAAAAAATAATTAGAGTCATAAGAATTTCACGTTGATGATGAATCAATGCTTTCCGCTAGAAGTTTTGGATGAAATATATTTTTCATTCTTCATCAATTGTTTTTAAATTAGGGACTATGGTTCTAAAGGTGGTTATCGAAACTTTGATTATTTACAAAATTTTCATCATTTTACCGTAATTTGTGAGAAATTTTGGGATCATTTGTTTTTTAATGTAATATATAACAAAGATTTTCCATTAAATCAATGAGTGATTTTGTGTTTTGTAGGCATCAAAGAAATGTTTCCAATTTATTATTATTATGATTTATTTCAGGGGGCGCTTTTGAAGGAGTTGAGGATCAAATCAGTCCATTCGGATACAAAAGAGGTGAGGGAATTGATGCTGGTGCTGGTGAACCTGAATGGATCGTCAACAAAGAACGTTACAAATATGATACTATGTTCGAGAGTCTGGGACCAACAGATGGAAAAATTACTGGAGCAGGTAATAGTTCTCTCGCAATAAATGTGTCTTTTATTGCTCTAAACTTCTAATTATATATTATATAATCTGTACAACTGGAACATTAACCCAACTTTTTTACGATTATTTCAGCCGCTAAATCAGAAATGGTGAAGTCAAAACTTCCTAACAGTGTACTTGGAAAAATTTGGAAGCTCGCAGATTATGACAAGGACGGTTTCCTCGATGCCGACGAATTCTCCCTGGCAATGCATCTGATAAACGTAAAACTTGATGGCTATGATCTACCCACAGAGCTCCCGGAACATTTAATTCCACCAGCAAAACGAGGAATGTACACATGATAACATTAAAAATTATTCTCCTTCATTGGAAGAGAAAAAAAGGAAGACTAAATTTTGTGACAGGCAATGGGAATTTAATTTTTGATATGAAATTGGAAATTGTTCTTCTTGCACCAATCAATTTTTATGCTCTTTGTATTCGAAAAACACTCATGATTATCATGATAATAGAGACTTGCAATTATTCTATAAAATTTAAAATTAAATATTTCTACATCACTGTAGTATAATAATTTATTGAAGCAAGGTATATCTAAAAATGAAGAAAATGAGAGATGAAAGCAAATTATATTTTTATTAAGAATTTAAGAAAATTTACAAAAACTATTGATTTGTAAGAGATTCTGCAGAATCAATACGTTCTGTAAGAACTTGAAAAATTATGTATATAGGTAAAGCTTTAAGAAATCGACTTTATACACTGCATTTAATAGTTGTTTGATATTTTTTTGATTCTATCAATTATCTTTCGGCACAATGAAACAGTTGAATACATTATGATCCAAAATATTGAGAGAAGACCATTAAAAACATTTCAAAAATTCAATAAGTTTTATTTTTTTGTATTCATTCTGTCAATTTTTGGAGCTCATCAAAGTGAGAAACATGAAGAGATTTCATGTTGGTTTCTGATACGCATTTAAGCTGCAGAGATATTTGAAAATTAATTTGCTGGCTTTACTTCGCTATTGAAATTTGTCGTTTATGACATTTGTAATAGTCTTTCATGAATGAGAAATGGCAGAATCGAAGCAGTGTTCATCGAACAAAATAACTGATGACTGTGTAAGTACCATGACGTTGAATGCACACACAGCTGCACAAACTACGTTTCTGTTTATCCTATTTTTTTATCATCGTCATTCCCACTGTGCTCAGAAATAGAACAGAAAACACCTACTGAATAAAAATAAGTGATGATGCTGAATTGATCAACTTATTTGACGATATCACATGAAAATGATAACATCCTATTTCCATAATTGTCTATAGTAACAATTTTTGTAAATTAATTTATTGAAAGAAATTTTCTATCATTTTAACATGCACGAGAAATAACAACGGAAATTTTCGGAATCCTAAGGAATTATTAGAAGTCATTTTTGTTAAATGTGTTTTTTTTGTGAAGGAATGTTTGTGGAAAATTGATTATGCAGACGTGGATAAAAATCATATAAAAATACTAAGTGAATATTTATAGTTTAATATTTTCTTATTTTAGAGTTATTCAGATCCTACGCCCTTCAACAGAAGTTTTTTCTTCTCCTTCATCCAAGGAATTATTCCCATAAAATTACGGTTTTTACTGTGAGAAAAATTTGCATTTTAAAATGACAAAACTTTTCTACATGATTTTGAGAATTCTTTGAAATTATAAACTAATAATATAGATATATATTATTAATCCCATATCCATATTCAAAACCTGCTCCGAGATAAATGTTTGTTTCATAAAAAATTACAGAGTTGTCGGAAACGCTTTATAGATAGTTATCAAGTGATTGTTCTCCTGTCGAAAGGTGACCAGCCTAGAACCTGACCCTGTCCCAGTAGCCGAACTTTTTAGAACATTCAACAAATTTCCCACGTCCTGCGATTTATTATTTAGTATCGCATTTGCCAATACATTCAGAAGAGCAGATTGACACTTTCACAGTTAATTTTTTCTGCCCATCAAAAGTTATGACGTTCTATTTGTACATTCAGCTACTGGGCCTAAGCGTTCAGCTACTGGGACATTCACCTCGTGTTTTGTTTCTGAATTTGAAAAATTCAAATTGGCAATTTATTTCACTAATTCTCTGATAATTTCAGTGCTAACTGATGTTAGAATATATTACCAGGAGAAGGAAACATCAAATTATATTGTACAAAAAAGATGATGAACTAATTAAAGTAGTATGAAGATAGCTCAATTTTGAAGATTGTAAACTGCAAGAATCATTGACAATTGGAAGGGATTTGATTGACTGATACGTTTTTGAAAAAAAACTTCAAAACCACGCGTTCTGTGAAGGAAATCAATAATTAGATTATTATGGTTGCAAATCACGATGATAATCTAATTTTTCTGATTAAATCATAAAGATTCTTGAAATTTTCATCAACTTATTCAATCTATTAAGAATCTAATTGTATTTAATGTTCAATTTTCACAATAAGTTTGAGAATTGAAATTCTTATTGAAATTTCCATAATTTCTCACTATTTGATAACTTCAATTTTGTTAAATTTTCAAAATCAATAATAAATTTTATGGACAATTTGGTTTTAAACTGAATTCAAATTAGCAACATTGAAAATTCACATGCAGGGATAACTGAAATTCCCAGAAATTTTTGACAGATATAAAATGATAATCAAAAATTATGGTTCATTTGTTGAGCAAGTTCCATATTTCATCCATGACAAGAAAATAGTTAAAAAATACTAATATATTGCAAAATATAATTTGAATGGCCCTGATATCAATTCCATAAAAAAAATCGCATACAATTCAGTTGGAAAATTCAAAAACTGAAAATATCCAAATCTAATTTGCTGTCTGGACAAAACCATTGTTGGAGATAGAAGTACTTCTACTATCACACTATAACACTCCTACAACACTCGTGTTGCCCCCCCCCCGCCCTTCATCCTCTACATGGAAAGCCTCTGCCCTGGAGCAACCCATATTTACAAATACTGAATTATCAAAACTAATAACAAGTTCTGTCTCTCAATAAACCACTATAAATCCCTCTCACAATTCATCATGTCTCCCAAGGTCCTTCATCAATACCATTACCTCGTCCCTAATCGCCTCAGCAGTTGTACCCTCTACTTTTTTACCCCCATTTAACCTCTGATCACCAATCTTATAAATAAAAACTGTTGGATAAGCATTCACACCTGCTCGTCTACAAGTAGATCTATGCTCGTCACAATTCAACCTGCCAAACTTGGCTTTCCCTTCAAGCATCTGTGCAGCAATAACGAAATGAGGCTCGAGGACTTGACAATGGCCACACCAAGGCGCATAGTAATCAATCACCCAAACTTCCTTCTTATTATTAATCGCTTTCCTTTCTAAATCATGCTCAGTGAACTCCTTAACTTTGATCCCTAAAAATTTTACTATCCACCTCATTAAGGAAGTTGCATCTCTATTGCCGTTGTACATCGCAACTTGATTCAGTCCTTCACTTCCTATGGGATATAATCTAATGGTGGGATAACTCCGAACTCCCTGGGTTCGACAGAGATCGCCATCCGCTTCACAATCGACACTTGCTATTTTGACATTTGGTAAAAGATGAATAACTTTGGCAACTGATGTCCACTCAGGTGCGAGTTGTTGGCAGGGGCCACACCAAGGTGCGAAATAATCCACCACCCACAAACTATTGCTCTTTTTCCTTCCCAAAGTTTTGTGAAAATTGGTTGAGTTTAGTTTAATCACTGTTGGGTTCATTGATTCTTTAATGAACTCGATGATGTTTCTCGCCGTTTTTTGAAGGGTGAATTGGGAGGTCGCGGAGCCGTTGATGAGCATCGCTGTTGGATACGATCTGATATTATATTGACGACAGATTGATAAATGGACTGTACAGTCTACTGTGCCGAAATTGATTGTAGATTTTTGAAAGTGGAGTGAAGCTTTTCGGAGCTCTGGCAGAAATTGCATGCAGGGAGGGCACCAAGGCGCGTACCAATCTAGGAACCAGACTTCTTCTGATCGGATTTTTCGTTGAAGAATTGCGAGAATTTTTGAGGCAGAGAGAGCCCACACGTTTTGAGCTTTTATACTGTTCTCCGCAAATTTCGCTATATCATTTATGTTGCCTTTTCCATGATTCAACTCGAAAGCTCCGGAGGGTTTTAAGACACCCCACATGGGATAACGGTTTATAGAGAGTGCGGAGCAGAGCGCCTGGTATCGACCGCAATTCACCTTGCCGAAGTTCACATCCTGGATTATGCCGGGTAGCCGTTTCAAGAGGAGGTCGAGCTCTGTCGCGTGACCTGAGACAAAAGGGAACAAATGTAGAAATATACAGAATAGTGTATTACTGATATAAGAATCTTCTTTTATGTGTATGTATGAGCATCGAAAATATTCTAAAAATTCAAATACTTGACTTATAGCGTCAAATACTTTCCGTTCCATTTCATCACTGCATCGTTCATCTCTACAATTTTATCGTTTATTACAACGGAAATTCTGGGAAATTATTGAAGATTTATGATATCATGAATTTTCGGTGGACTGGGGACAAATTTTGGTTCAACATGGCAACTGTGAGAATTAAAACGCAGAGAAAGAGCAACGACACTATTGTGTAGGCTAGGCTTATATCGAAAGACAGTAACACCAATTTCGCCTAATAAAACGCCTCATTTAATAATTAAATTTTAGTACGCCGGAGCAAATACGAACAAATTTAATAGAAAAGCTTAGCGAATTCTCTACAAAATTCTATTGGAATTCTCTAGAAATTCTATGGGGATTTTATTAAAATTCTAGAGAATTCTCGTTAAAACTCCATTTGGTTTTTGCGCAGATTCTATTAGATATTTGATAGGAAAAAGTAAATAGATTTCGATTTTTCTGTTTGAATTTGTGTCTTGAGATTTTTTCTATTAAAATTATTTGGCACGGATTTTCTGAGATTTTTTCGCTACCTAAATTTTGTTTTGTTTTGCATTACCGGATTCAAGTGAAAAAAACTTGGAGAATTCACGCCCAAGTATTCTTATAGGAAAAATTCTAAGAGAATCTTCATATTGTGACAAGAGACATTGTTTTTCCCTTCTCGTCGATACAATTTTGGCGCAATCGCTAAATGATTGATTTTCTGTTGCGCAACAAGTTGCCTAAGGCCCGTCCACTGAAATATACTATATATGGGCCCATCGTATCACTCTTCGCCCGGGACCGAAACTGTATACATGGTCTATATATTTTGTATTGTCTTATTTATTGAAATTTCATATTGTGTGGTAAGAGTCGATACCCGAGAACGTTTAGAAACTTCAGTAATAAATTGAGTGAATTGTCGACATAACAAGTGAGTAATTATTTATTCAAAGTGTTCTTACCTATGAGCAGATCCACGTCAAAACGCAAGGCCAAAAAAGTCGATCTCACGGATTTTCTCGCCGATTTTTTCCCTTCAAGTTGGTCTCAATGCGAACATTTAAAAAAAAAATCACCCAAAAATATTGAAAATTAAGGAAGTTACGATTTTTTGAAAATTTTTCTTTTTTTTTATGCATATTTTAGGGTGATTTTTCTTTTCAAGTTTTCAGCAATATCTAATTCGGGTTTGGAGGTATCAAATCGCGGTTTTGCACATGAAATATACATAGAAAAACCTTGAAAATGAGCCATCATTCGATGTATCCCATTGTTATTTAAGGATTTTATGCAACAAAACGTGTTTTTTATTCAATCACAATTATCTCAAAGACCTCTTTTTTTTTAATCTGAAATTTTCACCAAAAATCATTAGTAAGATGATGAAAATTTTGGCGGCAATTACAGTTATTACTTCGCAGTGGTTGACTGCATTTTGATGGGTGAAATAAATTTCCCTTAAATCAAGATGTAGGTGCTGTTAATCTCTTTGTCGATTTTTTTCCTCAAAGTAGATCTTCAGACGAACGTTTTGAAAAAAAAATCATTGGAAAATATCGATAATGAAGATATGATTAGTGCAGTTATGATTTTTTTTAAATAATTTTCTTTTTTTTTTAATCAATGAGTTTATAGATGATTTTCGAATTATCATCGAATTATCTTAGGAATGAGTGATTTTCAGAAAAATACTGGCAAATAACAAGCTTTCGTTATAATTCTATATACTACCATTCGATTTTATGATTTTACCAAGAGTCATAAGATGGAAGAGATAGTGGATAAGGAAATTGAGTTTGTTTCTTACTGAAAATAATGATGACAAATCTCTGAAGTGAATCCTTTTATTATTCTCCTTATTAATAATCAAAATATAAATTTCAAGTGCTTTTCATGAGTTGAAAATTAAGGAATTTACGGGAGATGGCATTTTTGACAGAAAGAAGAAGATATTTTTCTGTCGCTGTAGAATTCACTGATTTCTCCTTCAATTGATCGATCATTTCATTGAAACACTGGACTTCATTTATCTCTCCATTGGAATTTCTCTTCAAGTTTCCCGCGGTTTCAAATTTTTTCTGGATAACTTCAATAATCAAGTTATACATGTCCTTCAAACAGTGTTAAAATTTGAAAAGATGGAACAATTAACTTTTGAAAACATCATTGAATAAGTCGTTTTCCTAGCTTCTTGAATTTCACCCTGGGAACTTATGAAGCCAGGAGAACAATAAAACTCTGAAGATAAACTGCTCGATATTTGTGTCAATGCTGGTGACGGATGTTCCTCATACCATAAAGGGACATGTGTGTATAAACATTTCATGCATAATTTTCGCCCAGGTGTGAGAATAATCCGAGATTTATATTTTTCATAAAGCTCCAGGGACACCAGTGTCAAGTTTTTCTTGATAATCGTTTCGTGTTTCTGCGTTGGGTTAGAATATGTTTCGTTATGCAAAAATAATTCAATTTTTTTATGCAGATGTTTTTCAGAAAAAACAATCAGCAACAGGGTTGATGAATTGTAATTGGAGAGAATCCTCTACATTGAGATCATTAATTGTTAATAACTGTTCTGCTGTGCACTCAAATTTTCACATTTCTAATAGCATTGGGGAATTCCGTTTGAGCCTGTAATTTTGTCAGCGAAATCAAGTCAATTTATTACCATAAAAAATACAGTTCAAAGTTGATTTTAAGGTTAAAATTATATTTTTCAGAATTTTTGAACGAACCTTCCGCCATGATCGATGTGTAATCGAAGCAAAGAATTCAATCTTTCTACAGTTTTCGTTCTACACAAATTTACTATCACTTCACTAACTAAAAAAATTTTTGTAGTTGATGATTTATTTTGAAACTGTCAGTCTCGACCAGGGGGGTGACCAGGGAAGTTCCATTAATGTCGCCAAATTCGTGGCGCTACTAGTCATGTTTTCGGGCGGATTTTAGGTCAACTAATGTACCACAACCTGCGCCGCGTGATTGTGATTGTTTACATTCGAATGTGAGCTAATTATTAAAAACAATTGGAGAAATTGAAGAACTGTGGTGTAGGAAATGTAATTTTTTTGATTGAAAAAAAATTCTTTCATTGAATACAATGATGGCTGCGATTTACATTCATTTCATAGAGAAAGATGGAGAATTCTTTAGAAATTTCTATGAAGCTTTAATCCCAAATTCTACTTTTTTTGTCGAATCTGGTGGGAAATTCAGCCGTTTTTCTATGGCTTAAAAAAAATAATCGATGAAATAAATTAATGAATTTAATCTTTCTATGCAACTGATGCTTTCAGGGTATTTCTAAATTACTGAATTTTATTTTTAAGAGGGAGGGGAGAAACCTATAGAACTAAAAAACTTGGAAAAGAAGAAATTTAGTCATTTTTTTAGCGAATATTTTCTATTGAAACTTTCTATTGCGAAAACCGCATATGAAAGCTGCTTGATCGCTCTACAGAATGAGAGGGAACTAATAGAATTTCCAATAAAGGTTTAACAAAAAATAATAATAGAGTTTTCTAACACATGCGCTAATTCTCCCTGTTATTTTTTCGTGCGCACTAGGATAAGTGGCCTTTAAATCCCGAAAACATGACAAGTAGCACCACGCCACGGCGAGCGACATTAGCGGAACAGCCTGCGAGGCAGAGTGTCACACCCCTGGTCACGACGAAAAACACTGAACGTTTAGGTGTGATGTCTTGACGTTGAAATTTATAGATGGCGCTATTAATCGGCCATAATAGTCCGCGAGATTCAAATTATTGTTGGAAAATAATTTAAATAGTTCAGGAAATTAAAAATATACCAGAAATAGAAGAATAAAGAAAGTCTGGAATACAATGGACAAAGAGAACGAAAAACAGCATCGCAAGCGTGAGAAAAACCGTTACGGAAATAGTAAATGTCAAATACTTGAGTTTTGCTCTTATAATTTACAACCCTCCAAATTCTCGTTGAGTAAACACTTTCCTCGAAAATCCAAATTTAGAGAAGAAAATAAATTTAACGGTTACGGTCCCATGTCGTAAAATCTCAGTTCTGGTTATTTCGAAAGGTTCTCTGTTTCACGTGACTAACACGTGTGGGCTCTCCATTGTTCATTGTTTCGCTAGGCTGAGGGCCTGAGACCCTTCGCGACGAAGTTTCACGACGTCACACGCTCCCCTTCTTCCCCTTTTTTTTCATTTCCCCGCTTTTCCTTGAGTTTCACTTTTCCCTCTCCCCTGGGCCAGGATTGCGCGCGCAACTTTTGGTCCGGTGGGGTTGCGGACCCAACCCTTGGAGTTAAATTTAAGTTTAAGTCAGTTCCATCGTGGAAATTGGTGGTGAAGCCTTCAGCTTCCAGCTTCTCTCTTCAAATAGTTTTTCAGTAGAGTTTTTCTAGAGTTTATTAAATTCATTTTTTTTGTAGTGCAAAGTTTAAAGTCTGAAGTTGAAGTATTTTGAATAAAAGTGTTTGTGTGCTCTCTTAAGCACTTGTGTTGAATTTATTTCACAATTCAACCCTTCCAACCAAATATTCTGGGATTAAACAATTGGACTTCGATGGAGTGCTCATCAGAGCTTTGGCGGCAAACGAATCTACAGTCAAAAATTGGCGTTCTAAATTTCATTGGCGCTACTGTCCTCCTAGTTACTTCGGTAGGACATAACATAGGTAGGTGCTTCGGAACGTGTGCAGCCACATTCAGTTCAATTAGAGTTTACACTAGGGATCTACATGATCAGCGGGTTTTGTGTGGCGAAAAATATGAATGACCGGAAAGGAACCCTATTTCTTTCTCTTGGAAGGAAAACATCTAAGTTTATTGATTTAAAAAGAGAAAATAATTTAAAAAAAATCATAACTCCCGTAATTATCAATATATTCCAA